AATTTTCATTTACCATGTTCCTTTTAGACTATGTTAGGCCAACCAACATGTCTGATGAGTCATGACACCCGGGCCCAAGCTGAAGTCCAAAAGTCTTACCAAGTCCTAGATAGGGGTGTAAAACTATAAATGCATCGAATTCAAAAAAAAAAAAACCATTATCCGAATTTGAATTTGATTAGAAAATTTAATATTTAAATTTGATTCAATATAAAGTTGACTAATTAATTATTTTAAGTAATATATATATATATATATATTTTATGTATATAGAATATATAAATTACCTCCAACATTTAAATATTTTATATATTATATGAATTACATAATTTTGACTTCTAAATTCCATTTGATTAGTTAATCAGGATGAATATGATATCCAAATTTAATTGATTATGATATTTGAATTATCTGAAATCGATTTGATTATGTCTAATCTTATCTTAGATTTTAAGATACCATTGACACCTCTAGATTACCAGTCCTTCCTGTATCAGCTCTAGTCGATTATCTTCCTTTAACATGATTTCACATTTCATTTGAAATTTAATTTGTTGAATAATTAACTACCTAGATAAGCCCACCCCAAAATAAAAAAACATATAAATAAATAAATAAATCATTCTTGGTAAGAAGCCTTTTATGCCCTAAAAATTCAATCATACCCCCCACATCTCTGGTATTGACTCGATTGACTGACTTTGAGTCTTGTTGAGGCATACAAGAGAATGAATTATATGCTTAGCATTGCTCTTAAAGAGTCTTGCCCACCATCCACGCTCAATCTCTATTATGACCCAGTCAATTAACCCATCTCTCTTCATTCACCACATGAGTTCCTATAAATTTCATATTTAAAATCTAAAACCAGACTGAGAAGGCCCAATCTAAACTAAATAATAAAAAATAAGGTAAATTACAGATTACTCCTCCCTGACCACTGACTGATGAAAAAGTCAATTTACTAAAATACCCATTTGAGAAACTTCTATAAAATGGAAATTGCAATAAAAAAAAATCAAGAAACTTGTGTAAAAACATGGAATTGCAACAAGCACAATAATCAAGTAATATCAAGTAATTAAACCGGCAACAAATGGAAATCAGAAAAAAAAAATGATAAACTGAACCTTAATACTTGTTTTAGAAAAGGAAAAATCTATCATGCCGGAAGAGTTTTGACCAATTAAAACTAGCCTGTGAATTTTGATAAATACTATCATACCAGTTGATTGGTCACAAGTTTTCTTTATTTTCAGTTGATTTCTTTAAAAAATCATTAAAAAAAGAATTCAACTATGATAATGAAATATCATTGATTGTTATATTTTTGATGTTATAGTCATTAAAACTCGCCCATTGACTTTTGCTTGGAGCCTTGTACAAGATAATGAAATCATCAAAACTTAATTTTAATTCTTTTACATTAACAAGTCAACGGGCGATTTGCATCCAATCCTTTTTTTTTTTTTTTTTTCCTGAATTGGTAGTTGAGAACGTTAAAGAAGGATTTTCCATCGGAACTGGTAGTTGAGAACGTTTTGTGAGAAATTTGTGAGTTTGATTTTGCTCATAATTCACTTCTCCCTTTCTTTCTCACTCAAATACAACTTTTCGGTTAACATTCTATATTGGTGTCTTTTTTCATTGCTTTTGTTTTTAATTATTTTAATAAAAATAATAAAATAATAGATAATTACTGTCTAACGGAATAAAACGTTTAGATGAAGGCACATTAACTGGGACATGTGTTACACAGTTATTACTTGTTCACTCATTGTGCTTACCTAACATGCCTACTACATCCGAACCCTCCATATTGTACTGTCTCGGGGAAATCATGAACCATAACCATAGGAGTTGCAAAAGAGCCCAAGGAGCTTGTATATATTTATGTGCACATGGGATTTATATATATGAGATGGGCATTATTTATAACCCAAAAGTTAGCTTAAGCTATTAGGTTATGATAAGTCCCTTTCATGTCTTATGCTTTTCTAACGTGGGACTCTTTCACTTTTCATAACTTACATGTGCATCCAAACAAATCTCCCCCTCATATGAGTTCTTAACCACTCCCCCTTGAATAGAAGTCGATCACCAAGCTTGACATGCACTGCACTGCACCAAGAGCTCTTACTCACGGCCATGGGGAGCATACAACCAACTGCTACCTATCCAAGCACATGTCACCTTGGTTGGAGTCATGGGAATCACGTATAACTCTTTAAACTATTCACCAACCACTCTCGTCCAACCATGGGGAATTGGCAGAGCCATGGGAGTTACTGCATGCAAACCACTCAACCTTGGGAATCAGCCAAACCATTCGAGTACCACAATAAATGTGCATCCATCAAGATTTGCACCCAAGCTAAACCATAGACTCTAATACCAATTTGTAGAGGTTCTAATAAAYCCAAGGATGACCGGTCAAGTACAGAAAATAGAAAGAATACACAGAACAGAGTACACAAAGCACACACAGAGATTTATGTGGTTCGACTTATAACTTATATTCACAAGCATCAGAAGAGAATGAATCCACTATTCAACAGTGGAGTTCCTCTCTTGAATTCCATTTGTGATTTATTCAATGATTTAAACCTGAACAAAGTTGAGAAAAAACCTGAAAACAAAATTTCATAGTGGCTTGTAGTCGAAGCGAATGGCATTTATCACAAGCATCTAGAATCACAAGTCACTTGGGTTGTGCAATGAACCGGTATTGCAGATCACATCAAGTTGATCTCATAAATCATGGTAGACTGGAATCTCAGCCTAGACTCATTAGTTTGGACCCGCAATGAGATATCACGAGACTTGTGAGATCAGGTTCTTAGTGGTTTTAAGGGACTAACCCTATTTAGGGTTTYCTCATTATAATAGCATTGTATCTTACAAATAAAAGCATCTTCAGGAATGGTAGTGGGGGAGTTTGGAGCAGGGACCAAATTCGCTATCCCTAACYCCGATTATGGAACAAATCTCCATCTCCAACCTCGATCCCTATTGAGGATAAAAATGACCTTCTATCCCTAATATCCAACGAAGATGGGTTCTTCGTCGAGAACTCGAATCCCTAAAATTTTTAAACTAAAATTAATTTTAAAAGATAGATTTAGTTAAAATAAAATAATTTTTTAAAATATTTAAATACGTTTTGATATAAATAATATTAGGGTAAATTTCATAAACTATCATTATGATTTAACAAATTGACTAAATATACCTCTACTGTTTAAAAATTGATTGATGATACCCCTACTGTTTTTGACAATTGTCTAAATCTTACTAGGGTCGTTAAGYATAGACGGCAAAAAGTCAAATATTTGTTTTACCCTTTAACTCAAACACTTGATCATCTGCAAGGTTACATTTGTATCCCTTGTTTTAACTTAACTCTAACGTAACTCAAACACTCAACCTATTAGATGAATAGGACTCTCGAAAGAGGGATGGAGTGGCATCCATTGCCATCGCCATGGACAGCGACGACAATCACTGCAACTACCAAATAGCGAAGGTCTGGTGATAAACCCTAATCAAACGGTGAGGGTTTTGTATGCGGGGGCGGGCGGGGCGTGTG